ACGGCGGTTCGAATGGTATATAATAGTATGGGTTTACTGTTGAAACCAGGGAGGAGATACATTTGCCAGATTGAGGTGTCAATCGGAGTCTGAGGTCCGCCGTCAGTGGTAGGGATGACTTGAAATTATTTCAAAGTCACTCTGATCTACTCAGCATTTGATGCTGAATCCAAATAAAATAAGCAGAAAATTGTTCGGGGTCAGCAAAGTGGGGAAACCATGCGGTTTCTCAGAAACAGTCGGTTTTTCACTTTTTCTGTTTTTACAAGTTTTCTGTTGTACAGTCGACGTCAAAAACCTTTAAAGGTGATATTCTTGATCAGCTCGACGTGCTCTATCCAACCATGTATAATTCGACCAGATTCATTTTATCACTAACCTTTTGAATTTCCGACATCTTACCTCGAAAACGAGAAAAATGTAATCGTTTTCTACCAAGTTTTCTTAATTTGAAATCTATGCTAAAGGAGGGATGCAAGCCTTATCCTAAGTTGCTTCTCTACACATTCAGATGTTCTCTATCTGACTGAACAGAATTCATTTCTCCTTCTTGCGTCAGTCCGGTAAAAATGGCTAAATAATTACTTGCCGTAATAAATCAGCGAAATGTCAATGTGATGATCTCGTTTTTTTCAAAACAAAATTATTCATACTTTTTACATGTGACGTTAGTAGAAAAACATGTTTTTTCACAAATGACACCTGAGCGAGCTTAACTGGTTTACTTTTGTCTGAAATATGCTCAATCTGCGAATAGCCCTAACACGTAACTCGAAAAAGCAATGAATGATAGGGCTTATTGTAAGCGCAAAATAAAGGAAAGAAATTCGTCTCAGCTGCCAATCAATAGAGAGTTTCAAGGGCCACAGTTCTGCATATTCGGTTCGACACGACTAACTTGTCACACACTTGTACAAGTGCGTGCAGTTACATGAATAATTTGCATTGCGCAAACCAAGTGGTTCCACGAACGATGCTTCCGTGAAGCAGACAAGAGGGCTGTGTTAGAGGGATTTCATGCGTTTTTTCCTCTGTGCAATGCGCACATACGCATGTGTCGGCTCCAAAATACTTGAAAACGAGAATAATTTTCATTTTCGATCTTTTCGGTCAGAACTACGACGTTTTGACGAGGCAAAATCGGTTGTGATCTTCTTCAAAAGTTTATTCAGAAATGAACAAGATATTTCTCTGAGACCTGGAAGTATACTGAGTGCTAATATTAATGATAATATCGATCGCTAGACTAACGAAGAAAAATGGCTGTGAGTACCTTCGGGTAGGAAAAGAGAGCAACGCCAAAAAATTACAGATGTTTTCGAGATTTAAAGTAACCGCCATCTTCATAACATGAGGTTCGGTGTGTATTCGTAGTCATGCGCCTAAGGTATTTTCTGTCACACACAGATTATGAACTTAATGACGAGGCAAAAAAGAGTGTGGCATCCAACTGACGGTGCAAAAATGAAGAAAGAACAAAAAGAAAGGAAAGAACAGAAGCGATATTGTCGTTATGAAAAAGAAAAGTACATAGTACATCTAGATGTTCTTAGCTGATCACATTCATGATCACATTCATAGTGCACACTCCATAATAACATAGAAATGAAATATCTACTGTTTCATAATAAAAAGAGAACAATGAAAAGAAAACATAGAAAAGAAAAAAAACATAGTGCTATTTATCCTGACGAAATGTGTATATATATGTATAGATTCAAATGAAACAATCAGTCAACTGCGGAGAACATTTTTGATGTAAAAAAATGTTCATCAACACGACAACATGAAAAGTAAATCTACAACGTGCATCCTTTCGATATTTATTCTCGCTGTCACAGAGTACTGGATATGCTTTTGAACAAATTCATTTTAGTGATATATGACTATTTCATCCCAGTTTCTTCAAACAATCGTTGAGGCACTAGATAAATATATAAACAACAATATTCATATAAATACTAGCTTGTTGAGAAGTATCGATGTAGGTATTTTTAATACTCTAGTAAAGACTGTTATTGTATATATTTTTACATCATCGTTTCTGTTCTTTCTTCGTTTTTGCACTGTCAGTTAGTTGACAGACTCTTTTTTGCTTCGTCATTATTCATAATGTGTGTGTGTGTGTGTGTGATGGAGAACAGCACATTCGCATGACTACGAACACACGCGGAACCTCATGTTAAAAATATGTTGTTTTAGATTTATACCTCGAATTTTCTCATTTATTCCTTCAAGCAAAATATGGCATCAATGCCGACTCGTCAATTGGGAAAGAATGGACCCCGCGTATCGGCCATCGGTTTTGGAGCGATGGGTCTTTCAGCATTCTACGGGACCACTGCCACGGACGAAGAACGGTTCAAGGTCATCGACCGGGCGATTGAACTCGGTAGCACGTACATTGATAGTGCAGATATCTATGGCGACAATGAAGATTTGCTCGGAAAATACTTCAAGAAGTATCCACACCAACGTGCAAAGGTGAGTCAAAAACAACCATTTATATTGTGATTCACTATACTTCCTGATCTCGGAGAAATATCCCGTTCATTTTTGAATAAACTTTCGACGAAGATCACACCCAATTTTGGTTGTTAAAAACTTTATTAAAATTAGATTAATTAAATTAAAGGTTTAGCAAACTTTTAATTACCTCTAAAACTAACGCCTGGAAGCGTTTCGCTCACTAAACAGTTGACGGGGAAAAAAAATTCGTTTTGCGAAAGAAACGTTTTGGAAAACTTCGGGTGACATATCGCTAAACGCTTTTGACGCTGAGTACGAATATGACGTTAGCTTTCGATCAAAAATGTTTTTTATGAGTGGAAAGCCGATTTTAATGTTCAGGATCCCGTTTTCCCTCTGAACTTAAAAAATCCAAATTTCTCTTTTCAATGTCCTTATACAATAACTACTTCACTACATGATGACACAAAGATACCCAAAAAATGTTTACCCTCCCGTGCAGAAAAGATGTTTCGAAAATAGCTCTAAGATCCAAAACATTAACAGAACGGACAAATTCTTTCACTTAACTTTCGCACTAAATTTATCTTGCTCACTTTTGGACGCTCTTTCGAATGGCTTAATGAGAATTTTTTTTTCACACACTCATTCTCTATATTCCACAGTCACACTGAAGAGTATGGCACTTTTGGCTTAAGGGGGGTCCCCCCACCCGTTTTTTTCCAGCAGTTTGTGGAGGACACTTCGAAGTATACGTCTCAACAAAGCTTTCAGTTCCCGGACTTATAGTTTTTGATAAAAAAAATTT